AATTCTATAGGAAAAATTTGCTCTTCAAATCTGCTAGTCTCAAAGAACACTTTCAAATATAATTTATCCTGAAGAAAACGATTTGATGTTGTTTTTGCGTCTTCTGACTAAAATCGTCAGCACAGCGGCAAAAGCTATCTTTCAAACTATAAGCCCAACAGCTTCAAAGATCACAAAATAATAGTCTTGAAACCTGGAAAAAGATTTTATGTTCAGCCATTACGATCAGCGCAAGAAGTGGAGCTACCTTGATTTTACTGGGAACATAAGTTTTCGGATACTTTCTTCTACTACACTTGGAGAAACTGACTGGTCTGTTTTTAAGATCCATACAGCGAGTTCTTTAGGGTCAAAGCATTCGCTAAAAGTAAAAAAAAATCAAATCAAAAATATAGATCTAGATTTCCCCCAGTAAGAGAATTACCCCTAAATTACACCGATGACTAATCTCTTCAGCTGTGCTGACCACCACAAAATTTCTACAAAGAATCTCTTCAGAGTGGAACAAGAAAAATGGAAATCTTGCAAAATCTGCCCTTACGATGAAGTATCTGTTTTCTTATCACAAACAAATGTAAAGTTCCTCTTGTGTGTAGTCATACCTGTAACACCAAGCAGAATATGTTGTAACTCACACACTGTAAAAGTTGAGAATCCTCGTTCTTGTAAACAACTTCATCTTCACCCACAATTGTGATGAAATAGTTGTCCTTACGTCGCCCGGGCTTGTTCCGACTATCTCACGATTCTGCAGTTCTTTCCTTTCTAATTTTTATGGAAATCTTCTCGAAAATTTCAAACACCTACCATTGGAGACTTCATGCTCTGCAGCAGGAATCGCAGGAATGATCAAGATGAGGAGACCAATCATGGTTTGAGCATATGGAACAAATGAACTTAACTTCAGAATCCGATTTCATTTCGGACGATCAATTTTCCTTCTACACTACTGGCCATAACTATAAGTCCATCTTGAAAAGAGCCGTAACTCACTTGGTTTTCAACTAATTGTTTTGAAATTTGCTACAAGTATGTATTTGACAACCTGCTATCAGTAACCAGACCGGGTTCCGTTTTCGTTAGATTCAAAGTCGAAATTTCTGGAAGAAGCCTGTTGAAGGCTTGCCAAAACGGTAGGTCCTTTATTTTCTTTAACAGTCAGAAAATTTCCATCACCCATTCCAAGAAATATGCCATCATCGAAAAAATCGGTAATCGTCGAGTTCACACAGCAAATTGTTACCTAACCTCTTGTATTTCATATACTTTGTTGTTCTCAGAAACTGCCGATGTTCCGCGAAGTCTACCGAACTTCACAAAATTTGAAAACATTAATGTTTTTTGAGTATTGACAATGGCTGCGCTTAGTGCACATGCACATGTAAAAAGGCTTATTTTCAGGGCGCACGAATTTGTTAACTCGTAGATAAGGGTAGCGTTGAACAAAAAATCATAACTTATAATAACGGGCTAAGGGTGTTCACGTTTTTTTGTGTGTGTGTGCGTGTGTCTGTCTGTCCGTTACGAAATTCGTAGAGCGTGTTCCAGCCAACGTTCTAAGCCCAAATTTTGCATAGCGCACGCTACCTGCATGAAAGCTCACCATGCAAAAGCATGAGGGGATCCGTTGAGTGGATCCCTCAGAAATTGCGCGCCAAACGGATCCACTTGGCTTCTGTCGAGCAAAATTAGGTCCGTATCACCACTTTTTGCAAAGTCGTGGATGTGTTTGACAAGCTAATGTGCAAGCCATGGACGTTAACCCAAAAAATCGAACTAAAGTTGATTAGTTTACGAAAATGGCGCCAAAAAGAATAAGTTGCATAAATGTCCAATTTGCCAAGATTTTACCTGATCGTTTGAGAAGATTTTTGCACAGGGATGTAGTCCACGGTGATTATTGTCGTTATGGCGACTATCAGGCCATAAATAGCCCAAAAACCAATTCAAATACGCATTAATTCTTCTCGGAAAAGTCTCATCCACGCGAAAATACCGATCTCACACAAAAAAGCTCTAGGAATGAGTAGTTGTTTACAAATCATTCGTGATAGCCTGCATGGCTCGGTGAGTTTCACTGTCATTATTATGCAAGAGTGAGTTAGGCATATAGAAAGTAGGGCCAGTGCGAGCCTCTGCGAAGCAGAGGTGACGCACTGGTGAACAATAATTGTACAGAGATGTTACAAATTTCGCGCAGATTCGTAGAAGGTAGAGGATATGCATGGCTAAATGTTTTGCACTGGCTCTAAAGCTCTCGTATTGATTTACAACCCCAAAATCATGAACACCTTATTCAACAACACCTTTTATGACATTGACCACAAAAGGAAAACAATTTGGCAAATTACGGATTATACGTTCAACAGTCTTCGTTGACACTTATGACCAGGACAACGTACATTAATTATCATTGCCATTCATCAATATTAATTTGAATTAATTATCACATTATCAATATTAATATGATTACATTAATTATCACTGTCATTATCAATTTTGATCGTTTAAATTAATTACCACATTATCAATATTAATTTGATTACATTGATTAACACTGTCATTATCAATATTAATTTGACTAATCTTCATTTCAATCCGATATTTCTTTCCATCGTCGAGATTCAAGCTGCCCATGACCATTCTTATCGTAGCATCTTTTAATTCATGTCCATTCACTTCTTTAACTTTTTCTTCTTTTCGTAATTCTTCTAGAGCATTCTTGGGTATCTTCTCCGCTTTGGTTTTGAAGCTCTTTCTAAACATCAATAATCAAAACAACGTTTCAATCTCAAAACTAGTGCACAAAATATTTTTTTGAAAACGTCGCGAAGACGCCAATACCTTGTCACCATGACTAGAATTATGGCTTGTTATACAGTAAGCAATCAAACTTGAGCTCTGCATGGCACTGATCCATTCTTTTAAAAAATAGGGACTTTTGACACATGTAAGTACTCTAATCGACTCATTTTGGTGCTTACTTTTTTTGAAAAAGTGCCCATGCTTTGCCGAACTACCCTCTAATTAATGATTTTGAAAGTTTTGCCAATTTAATTTGTGAAATCACTTGATTGAGGTCCTCTTTATACAGTGCTGGCCATAATTATAAAGCCACTCTAGAAATCGTCGTTTCCGTTCTTGTCAATGAATCTGTCTGAAACTTTGCTGTACTGTGCGCATGACCCCTCAAAACGGCTTCCAGTCTTGTTGAGTTCGAACGGAGAAAAACGAAAAGGTTTGAAAAAGCTCTTAATGAAAGCTGGACAAACTTATAAAGCCACCTGGTTTTTCTATAGGGACCTGCAGGATCGCGAGAGTCGGACGTGCTTACGGCCATTGCGCCGCGCACGTCCGATGTCACTGAGGCAGGTGCCAGACTTATCCGTTTCAGCCAGTTCGTTCGTTCATAGGTCAAATCACTACACTGTTTAACAGCAAAGGTGGTGAACCGAATGAACCTGTTCAACAGGATAAGTCTGGTACCTACTTGAGTCGTCGGACACACATCTGTGCGGCGCAATGGCCGTACGCACGTCCGACTCTCGCGATCCTGCAGGCCCCTATAATCACTATTGCATTCTTAGACTCTCAAATTTTTTTTGCAATCGCAACCTAAAATATGGAATTTTTTGCAACACCTACGGCCTGCCATCCTACTCAAATAGGAGCGATCAGTGCATTTTTTGCTTCTATTCTACTCAAATAGGAGCGATCAGTGCATTTTTTGCTTTCAAAAACAACTAAAGTCAAATTGCTTCAATAAGAAGCTCGTTTGGGGAGTCTTCAAGCCCTTGTTTATTTCAAATGAATGATAGCAATCAAATCTACTGAGCATTTTCGATAGATTAGGTGAGGAGCGCTTCCATAAACTCTGCGTAATCGTTGATACCGACGGACAAATTCCAACCTCATCATAGAGTTGACGCACTTTTGCACCACAAAACTCGATTTTCAAGCATCAGAAAATACTGTAATGTAGCCATTACGACAGCCAACAACAGTGAACTTGTGTGCATGAAAAAATTTCGGGATTGAGCACTCTGGTTCAGCTGCAGTCGACATCCACTGAATGTTGAGTGGAACACCCTGCACAATCAAAGCCAACTGAGATCACGAGATAAAACAGTAGACGCTTGAAACTTCAAAAGCTTAGCTAATCTCATTCATCGGGTGAAATATGACATGAAACACAGAAGGAAATAAGGAGATCTAGGGTTATATCGAATCTTCTGCTTGCAGGGAATTTTCATGGAAAGTATCACGTCTAAATCGCAACTGCATCACTAGGGAAAATCAGAAGCTGTTGCAAAAGCTGCACCACCTGTAGACAATGTGACAAATCGAATCCAGCCCTTTATGGACATTACAAACAGTTTTGTGGAGTAAAAGCGTGGAAACCCTATGGTGAGGTTGGAGTCTGTCCGTCAATATCAGCGATTACGCAGAGTTTACGGAAGTGCTCCTCACCTCATTCGTCGAAAATGCTCAGTAGATTTTATGACTATCATTTGAAATAAACAAGGGCTTGAAAACTCCTCAAACCAGCTTCTTGTCAAAGCAGATTGACTTTTGTTGCTTTTGAAAGCAAAAAATTCAGTGATCGTTTCTATTTGAGTAGGATGGCAGGCCGCAGGTGTTGCAAATGTTTTATATTTTGGGATGTAATTGTCAGAAAAATTTGAGAGCTGCCGATAGTGATTAGAAAAACGAGGTGGCTTTATAATTTTGTCCAGCTTTCAAAGAGGGCTTTTTCGAATTTTTTCGTTTCTCTCCGTACAAACTCAACAAGACTGGAAGCCGTTCTAAGAGGTCATGGTAGATTTACATGCGCACATTACAGCAAAGTTTCAGACAGATTCATTGACGAGAACGAAAATTACGACGATTTTTAGAGTGGCTTTATAATTATGGAGCACTGTATAAATGACTAGAATTGACGTTTGTAGTTTTGTATATCACAATAAATATTCAGCAAAGAATAAAAACCAAATGTGCACTCACATAAATTTCTTCATATCCTCTTGTTTATTTTTATAATCATCTCCAATTTTTATATCACTGTCTATGAGGGTTGTTACCATAAAGTCTGTAACAGAGACGAATAGTGCAAATTGAAGAGGGGCAAAAAAACTCACTAAGAATTTTTTCCTGATCTACTTTGCGATTCCTTTTGTAAGGACTTTCCGAGTCAGATAGATGTGCCCAGTTTTTCATAGAATATCCCTAAACAGACGTCCATAATGATGTACCAGTTCATATGATTTACCAACCTGGACTAAAATCATGGCCATAAAGCAGTCAAGAAATTCGTTCTCGTCTTTGATATCTGCTTGTGCAAGCTTCTTGTAAATTTCATTGAGAGATACTTCCTTATCCGTAGTGGATGTATCCAACACTATCTCCCTCGTTGTGCATTTAACAGATCCAAACCATTTTTCCTCGTCGCTTCTGCTGATCATTTGGGGTTTGTGGTTTTCTGGTCTAGGCTGTAATATGTCGTAGTAAAAGGTCAGCGCTTCAAAATTAGCTTCTGTAATAGCTAAATTTGACCTAAGATGAAAAAGTATTAGCAAATCATTCCTTCACTTTTCAGATCGAAATACTCGCAACTTACCTTCCCCATGATGATAGCGACATTGCGGAGAACACGTAGAATTTCTTTATCTCCTTCCAAAATTTCAACAATTTTGATGACGTCAGAAATGCCTAGCCCTGCCTTTCGTCCAAACGGGAGCTTAGTAATACTCAACACAACTTCCTCGTGTTCCTCGTAGCCCTCAATACTCTAAATACTTACAATCATTATTCTGAACTATAAAGCAAAAATTTCACGTAGACACTTACTCCTATGATCTGCTTGATTTTGAAAATTTCCGCCATTATTATATCCAAGAATACTTGTAAGCTTGAAACGGTCACAGCCAATAGTTTGAGATACGTACTGAAATTGAAATCTACTTCAAAACCAAACCTTTTTCACATTATGGAGACTATCGCAAGAAGGCAAATGCATGAAAAAGCGAACTACTAGAGCACCAGACTATTCTAGAACCACTTCCTCCATTCAGGGATAGAGGTTAGTGAGGAAGGAACGCCATAAAAGGGAGAGATAGCAAGCAGGAGGCGTATTTTTAGAGAAGAAGAGAGCCCGCCCCTGAGGCAATAAAAATTGACTCGCAAGCAGGCCACTCATTGTTTACGTCGCTGCTAGTTTATACCAGGGCTCAACACGAGGTGGGCAAATGTCAAGATGGAAATCGTTTCCGATGGAAAACAAAGGAGATATCGTGATTATACTTTTACATGTATTAGGTTGGACCGAAAGTTCGTTCGCACCAAATTCAAAAATTCGTAGCTCTTTAAATTCTTAATGAATTTGTAAGAACAACTTTGCATCTGTACTTGAACTGTTCGTTAATGTGGTACAAATGAAGGAGATAGAAGCTCAGAACCAAAATCACTCAAAATTTGAATTTTTCGTGTAGGGTCATAAAAAATCGGAAACTTGCAGTAAAAATCGGAGCAGTCGGTATTGTAGGTTCTTTCACCAGCTCTTTCTAACAGTGCAAAGTTTGCGCTGATTGAGCGTCTCTATGAAAAGTTACGAATTCCCTGAAAAATGCCAAAATAAATCAAAATCGCCCTTTTGTATTGCTTGCTCGAAAATCGTAACTTTTCATAGAGACGCTCAATTGGCGCAAACTTTGCACTGTTAGAAAGAGCTGGTGAAATAACCTACAATACCGATTGCTCCGATTTTTACGGCAAGTTTCCGATATTTTATGACCCTACACGAAAGATTCAAATTGAGTGATTTTGGTTTTGAGCTTCTATCTCCTTCATTTGTACACATTATCGAACAGTTCAAGTACAGGTGCAAAAAGCATGAGTTCCTCCCTTACGCAGAATTTTGACCATACAAATTCGTTGAGAATTCAAAGAGTTATGAATTTTTGGAAATGGTGCGAACGAACTTTCGGTCCAACCTAATACATATCCGCAGCAAGATTCCCATAGGTACCACGTTATCTCGCTGCCTTTCGCTCTTTTGAACGTATTAACCTCGAGCAGTTCCGTTGAAATCTCAGGAGAAACGTGTCAAAAAGAGCGAAAGGCAGCGTCGCACCACGTACGCACGTTGGTTCACATGGGAACTTTCCTGGGGCACACAGGATACACTCTCTCGACAACTTGCTACACGACTGACATGCAAAAATGCAATTTCCTCGCGCGTGTAATTAAATGTCTCGGTCACGGAGCATATATGACGATATAAGCAAGAATTTGGAGTATAAACGGATGCGGGCTAGTAGAAGCAAACTCCAAAGTATTGTAAAATATGTAACTGAAGGTTGTGGCAAGCTTTTTCTGAATATTTTCCGACCACAAAATGATAAAACGACTTGTTTGCAAAGCACAGATTACGATATGGCACAAGTTTGGTGAGTGTACGCTTAAATGGACTAAGGAACGGAGAAAAATTATGGAAAACTTATGTGGTTAAAGAGGGGCTTAACTTTCTTCCAACAATTGCCGTGCGCAGCTCCAATCGATGTGTGAGGAAGACTTATTGCCAGTTTTCTCGCCCTGTTCGAATTCTACACCGGAGTTTCCGCAAATCAAAATGAGATCGAGTTCCGGAGTAAGAGTCGTTGAGAGTCTGATATTCCGCATGATAATGACAAAAAGGAACCACTTTGAAGCTAAAGCATCTGTATCACCAAAGTATGCACATCTTTTAGCGCAAATTAGAATCCGCATATGCGGCGTGGTGATACGGCTTGATCTTATCTCATCATTCGTATTTTTTCATGTGGAGTTTTACTCTTGATTGTACTCTATCTCCAAACAAAAAGTAACCTCACGTTCTCTTCCTCATATTTTTTTTGAAATTTTTTACGCTAATATAATGAAGTAAAATTTTTTGAATCATAGACCGTAAAATCTGTTTATCAATTTCATGACCTATGATGGAGAAGTAGATATGAAGATGAATGATAGTTGAACAATGGTTATGAGAAGAGATCTGCACAAAAATCTATTGCCCTGATGGGGCCCCTGCGCTTTATTATAGAGTACTAGCTGGCCTAACGGCTCCGTCCGGCCCTGTAAAAACCTATAATAAAGGTCTTATTTCTAGCCCTATACAACCTTTCCCTTGCCCGCTTCTACGTCCCGACGTCCCGATTCCCTTTTCCCGCTGTGTTAGTTATCAGCATGCTCGATTACCTCCTTGTGCCAACTCCCAGGTCCGTAGCCCAAACTTTGCAAAAGAACGAAAAATCGATAAAATCTTATACATAAAGCTGAATGTCTGTTTGTCTGTCTGTATGTCTGTCTGTCTGTATGTATGTATGTACTAGCGACCCTACGGGTCGCTAGTAAGTGGGTTGGGGCAGATACATTGATAACTGTCTGCGTGCAACTAAGAATAGCAAGAGAATGAATTCCCATCTTTTCAACGATCTTTTTCGCAATGCAAGTAGTATAGGCCGTCCGCGCTGCGCGCGGAGAGCAACGCTGTTGCGTCCATCGAAGATAGAAGAAACGCAGAGAAAACGGGAGGCGAGAGTGCACGGGGAAAGAGGAGTGACGCGTAATGCACACCTTGCGCACTCTCCGCGCCCTGCGCGGACGGCCTATAATAGAAGCAAGATCAGGCTCAAGCAAACTTTTTACAGCGACAAACTACCAAATCATATACGCTGTTCTTCTTGCAAAGACCCAACTCCAGCTTCTAAAAATGGAAATCGCCTAAGCAGTTATCTATGCAGAAAACTGAACCCGAAATTCAGAGACTTTCAGGAGTGGGCGACGGCCGCAAACACATCGAACTTCGCGATCATGCACAGTCCTACACTTTCCTTATAATATCTCGCGAAGTCATTTCAGGGAGGGGGATCAATTCCGCTCAAAGCTTTCTTTTGGACAATCTTAGCAAACATGTCCTGCCTCATAGACCGAGACCACGAGATCAAGTCCCCTTTCCTTTTTTGCTAAAGGGGGCAGAAGTATGATTTCTGCGAAGTAAAAGCGGTCAAGATGGGTGTCAAGCAACATTTCTGATAAGTTAGCATCGATCTTGCCGCATTAGCTCCCGGGACCTTCCTTCCCTCAAGTCCAAGTTTGCTTTGCTTCTTTATTGTAGGAGGCAGAGGTATGATTTTGCGAAGTAAAAGCGGCCAACTTGGATATCAAGCGAGCTTTTGTACAGTTTAGTATTGAAGTTGAGAAGTTCTTAGCAGAAATGCACTGCCGCATGAAGCCCTTAGGCCCTCCCTCCCTCGAGATCAAGCTCTCGCTTTGCTTCTTTGTTATAGGAGGCAGAGGTATAATTTCTGCGAAATATTAGGTTGTAAAGGAAAAGTCCGGGCACTTTTAGAGAGTTCGTTGCCGCATAAAGCTGCTGCAGTTTTCCTCCCTTCGAGACCAATTCTCCTCTGCTCTTTTTGATTTTTTAAAGGAGAAGTACGATTTTGTTTTCGCAATTCGATCTATATCATACTTGTGGCCATTGATGTTAGAATCTTGTTGCCGTAGATTGGTCATCCTATTGGTGCTCAGTTTCCCTTTCGCAATTTAACCATATTTCGCCAAAGTTTCTTTGCGGTGTGATCATCTGACTTTGGATGAGTCCAGTTTCTGTAGTGTTTATTTCATATACATGGTTCTGCTTCAATTATATCCTTGGCCGGTGCTTATCTTGAATAATGTAGTGGTGAAAGTGGAACTGCAGATTAACCGCAACAGGGAGGAGAAAGCGTGGAAGATGGAAAGCGTGGGAGTTTGCGCTTAAGAATTTGGTGATTTTGCGCTTCTATGACAGCGGCCAGCTACGGCTACGGGCTGCTGGCGGCTACTGCGGGCTGTTACGGGCTATCAGCGGCGGCTGCCACCGCGGTATGAAGGCACTTTTATAGCGATACTAAAAGATATAAAACTCGCTAAAGCTTTCTATCGGATAATCTAGCAAAAATGTCCTGCTGTGAAGCCCGTGGCTCTGCCCTTCTGAGACCAGCCTCCTCTGCTTTTCTGCTTATGGGTGCCAAAGCATAACTTTCGCGAAGCAGGCGCGGTTAAAATGGATATCAAGGATTTTTTTATAACTTATCCTTGAAAACAAGGAATTGTTCGGAAAAATGTCCTGCGGCAGTAGCGACCCTAGGGGGTCGCTATCAAGTGGGTTGGGGCAGATACATTGATAACTATCTGCGTGCAACTCAAAATGGCAAGGAGATGGACTTCCATTTTCTCAACGATTTTTGGCGAAACGTAAGTATGTAGTCGTAGGAGTAAAATCATGCTCTCAAGCAAACTTTTTACAATGGTAACTCTCAAATCATCTACGCTGTTCTTCTTGCAAAGCTCCTTTACTTTTCCGCTATTAAGAGCACAAGAATTTTTGCTTGAAGTGGATTTCAAGGAGGTTCTTTATAACTTAGCCCTGAGAACAAGGAAGTCTTAACAAAAATGTCCCGCGGCAGTACGACCCTACGGGTCGCTTCAAGTGGGTTGGGGCAGATACATTGATACCGTCTGCGTGCAACTAAAAATAGCGCCTTGAAAACAGGAATTGTTCGGAAAAATGTCCTGCGGCAGTAGCGACCCTAGGGGTCGCTATCAAGTCGGTTGGGGCAGATACATTGATAACTATCTGCGTGCAACTTAAAATGGCAAGGAAATGGACTTCCATTTTCACAATGATTTTTGGCACGTAGGTATGTAGTCGTAGGAGTAAAATCATGTTCTCAAGCAAACTTTTTACAATGGTAACTCCCAAATCATCTACGCTGTTCTTCTTGCAAAGCTCCTTTACTTTTCCGCTATTAAGAGCACAAGAATTTTTGCTTGAAGTGGATTTCAAGGAGGTTTTTTATAACTTAGCCCT